TCTGTAGCTGTCATTTCTTCTTCAACGGACCTATTATTGAAGTGTAGTTAATCTTTTCCAACTGCTTCAAACAAAGAGGAGTTTTCCATTCTACATGTAACCCAGAACTAAAGAAAAAAGGAAAAACTGCAACCTTGGTTGCATTTGCAGAAGCCTAGTGCGTTCGCTGAGGTTTTCACAGTGTTGCTGGCACTTGTTTCTGCAATACTTACATCTAGTGGAAAACTCCAGGGGTTCCTCCTGGCTTCATTTCCTACACATTCTGGATTGTGAACGGGCTGCGTGACAGAAGAAAAAGTAACTCCATAACCTCACTTCTCTTTTGGGCCATGTGGGCTGTTGGATTTTGGAAGAGACAGCCTTCCTTTCATGCCTCTCAGTGCCGTTACCAGTGTGCAATTGGACTTCAACAGAGTAAACACCCCAGGAAGGCCCTGGTGGCACGGTGTCCAGCTGCAGGAGCATCACGAGCCAGCAATTTATGGCAATGTCTGAGATGGATAATATTCTTAAAACATGCAATGTATTGTGAAGTTGCTGACCCACAGATTTCTGTTTGAAAGTGTGCGAAGTCATACATGTGAGCTCAGTTTCTGTTCTGCTTACCAACATGACATGAAGTTTATGAGTATTTTTTTAAGTGTTACTTTGTCTTAGAGAAGTAATCAAAACCAAAGTCAGCCTTAAGAGTGCTCAGGCCATAACGTTCTGCCAGCACACATCCAAAGGGTATCTTACAGATGATACTGGTACCCTTAATATACCCTGGATAAATTTTATTAAAACAGGTGTTCTCCAAAACTAATGGTACAGTGAAGAAACTTACAGCCTTTATAAAAGAGAAGCAGCCTCTCGTTTACTCTGCTCTTCCAGGAAAAGAGGAAATTGTCAATTGTCTCTCCCATTTCTACCTTTGCCCCTAGATGAAAGCTACAGAGCATATAATTTTTGCTCTATTAATAGTAAAAGATAGGTCTTTGGTGAAGGAATTAATTACCAACTGAGAAAAGGTGATACCTGTAGCAGAGATAAGGGTGATTCATTCAGTTACAACTCCACTCTCATTTCTTTGTGCCAAGGCACTGTTTTGAGAACAGGAGTTTGACAGAAAGCAAACACATGGGAATTCACATAGAGAAAATGTAAAGGCTGTCCCTTCATCTCACAGTTTCCCAGTCAGTTTCTTCAAAGAAGAGAAAACATTAGCTCACTACCAAGTTAATGGCAAACAGTAAGTCACATAACAGAATATAACATTCACATCTTATTATTTCATATATAAACCTTTACTTTAAAGTGTTATCTAAAATAACGTACATGGTTACCAAACCAAATAGCCCACATAACCTATGCTGAAAATATCATCTTTCTTTACAGAAACCTAATTAAAATGAACTTTAACTGTTTGAGATCTGGAACAACCCTTCTCTCTGAGAGCCAGATCACAGCCCAGCTTTACACTGCTGGGTAAAGCTCTGAGGAGGAAGACACCCTCACACACACAAAGAAAGCATTGGTCCCGCAAAGATCTGGCTGGCCTGCTTCTGGAAGAGCTTGCAAATCCTAACTCTCTCATCAGAGGTTATGTCTTGTTACCTATCCCACCCTTTAGGCTTTACAATTACATGCTACCCTTTATTCAAGTGAACTCTAAAATTGCTCTTCCGGCCCTTGGTGGTGTTCTGCCAATACATTGTAGAATTTAGCAAAACAAAGAAAAAAAAGAAAGCTTAGACATCCTTTAATTCTGTTTGAGCTTCTACATATACATATTATTATCATCTTATACCACTGCTGGTAATCACAACTACAAGAAATAAACAAAGAGAAAATCAGGAATATATTACGTTATTTTATAGGCACTTCTATAACCATGTAATTTGCTTCATAGTTAATTTATTGAACTCCAATATCTGCTTTAAAGATAATCAACTGGCTTGGGTTGTATAAAAATGCTATTTTTGAGACCCAAGAAATCCCACACTGCTCTACTGAGCATGAATTAGATACTGAAAGAACCATTCCTTGCACACAGAGCATCCAATATGCACTGAGAAACAGCTCAACAGAGTCCTGCTATTAGCACTATTAGCACTTGTTCTTTTGTGATTAATGAAAATGCTCTGCTTCAAAAGAAACAGTTAATCAGATAATCACATTAGACTGTATCTCACAGGCCTCGAGCAGCCAAGCTCCCAGAAAAGTCATTGAATAAGACAACAGGATTACGGCTTTTATGACTACACAAAGCATGGCCAACATGCACACTGAGGTTGCAAGATTATTACATGGTTACCTGTGCTCTATAAAATAGAGATGTCATGTTGAACATACTATAAAACGGTACTGCAGTTATTATTATGCTATTATTAGCATGTTACTTTCATTATTAAGCATCATTACCTATCACCAAAACATTAGTACTTCAGTGTAAACACTGCAAAGCATATACACGATTGAATATTGACAGATGCAAATACTTTGGATCTGTTCTCTGCCCACAAGATCTAGAAATAAGGCATATGGTCAGCAGATGAGGAGAGTTTAAATAAACAGCCCGAGTGCTTTGCTTTCCTCCCACACACCTTAAGTCAGTCAGTTATGCTGCTGGATTCTTCATAGCAAATCTCGTCTCTTGAGGAAGTCGTACCTGAGGAAGGCTGCTAGCTGGCTGAAACATCATTCTTTTATTTTTTTTCACTTTCCTGTGTACAAAGGAACAAACAGTGAATAGCTAGAGGGCTTAGTCTTTTTAAAAATCTTGACAGAGATTCTGCTCGGAAGATAACCGTGTGGCCTGAGACACTTCATTTGCTAATGCTCACACATTTATACACAACTGACACTTTATTCCACTCAGAGGATCTTGACATAAAACTGTAGAACCGATCACATCTCTGTGACAGTTTTCCCACACATCCCTATCCAAACCTCCCATCAGTAGCTGTAAACAGAATTAGCAGGGTGGCCACTTAGCAACCAAATGCTTTTGCTTTTGCAGTCTTACAGCATGGCGCCGTCTCCTTTTAGGCTGAACGTACTCCTGTCCATACGATGGCCACTGAAAATCTTGGGGTGGCATTTTGCTATTCTGACTTTTCACTTCTTCAGAATCAGAGTCGTCTTGTTGCATTGAAGAAAAATGCCTATCTGGATAAATCTCCTTCAGTTTCCCCTCAAAGAATACACCTAGGCATCGTCCAGCCTCAGCAACCTCTGAATCCGGCTGTAAGAGAATACACAACCATTCAGCATTACTGCACACAGAAATCATCAAGGATCAAAGCCCAGTGACTACACTATCCTAATGCCTTGCCTTGGTTCTGTCTGCTATATCTCCATTAGTCTCCTGTGCACTTTCTACAGCCCACCAGTCTCTCTGCATTTACAATTTGAGTAAAACACAGTTGCTGCTATTAAGGAACATGATCCTGCACCTCTAAGAAAAAAAGTGCAGTGAACTAGAAAGAATAGCAGTCACCATTGCTTAGGAATATCTATGCACCTGAATTTTGCTGGCCATGACTAGCTTCTCACAGCAAATTCAGCAGCATTCCAAAAAGCTATCAGTTAAGATGTTGCTCTTTAGTTTTAGATCCATATGTATCTCAAGTTCTCAGATCCATATATATCTCCATTTCCGTCATTAAAAAAAATAAATTATCATTTCCCAAGAGTAAAACTGATTAATACTTCTGTTTATCCCAATCCCATATCTGGTGTCAATAGAACCAATAGCTGCACCAGTGTGACAGCTTGAAAGAGCAACCCTCTGGTTCGTATTCCCCCCACCCATGCATATTAGAAACCTACATAATTGAACTTTGCACAGTTCCAAAACATGAGACGCACGTCAGACACAAGTTCCTCAGGTGCAGAATAGTGGCACTTCTCCTGTTTTTGCAGCTTTTTTCGTATGATTGACAAATCCATTGGCCTTTTGATGATCTGATAATAATGCTGAGCCTGCAATAAGAATAAAATGCAGGTATGTAATTGTTTTAGTTCTAACATTTCCTCTCCAGTGACTTCTATCCAACCTCAGACAGAAGTCACTGCAGAGCATTCCTTGCATCAAGGGAGAGAGCTCTAGTCTTTTGGTGCCTACACCACGCACAGCATCTTCCTGGGTGCTTTTTGGTTTGATTAAAAATATTTGCTTGCAAGACTAATCTTGAAAATAGCACACTTCAGTGACTGCTCTGCTATTTGCACTTTCTAAAGCTTATCCCCAGATAAAAATGTCGTTGTTTAACCCTAATCAATAATATATGTAATACTGACAATTAGCTAACATTTCCCCCAAGCAGTTATAAAAGCAATGTGCTGAGATACTGGCAGCTGATGCTGTAGGAAGCAGTCTGCCAAGAGTGACTAAAAATATGCTACTATGCACTCTTTTTAAAGTTCAACAAAAATCTCTTTCAATGGGCACCAGTTACCAGGATATTCCACTCCTTAAATATTTCTGGGTCAAATCCTACTTGCTAGGTATGAGTTCCACAAATACATTACAAGCTCTATTAGGTGGAATGTTTTTTATATTGTTGTTTGGACTATTCCTTCACAGAAAACCATTTATTTCCTCCTCTCATTTTCCTCCTCCAAATTGTTTGACATGGTGTTCTATTGTTACAATAGTGTGAATCTATATATTCCTTATATATATTCCTTACAATAGCCAGTTAATATTGCAGAATAATAAAACAGCAGTCTCCACAGCTTCCTCTAAACGTAGTCACATTACAACCTTTGTGCAAAACACCGTAAAAGAGGGACCCCAGGGTTATTTCTAAAACACATCTTTCTTATGGCAGTGCAACATTCTCCATTTATGCAGCAAGTCAACTTTCTTAATCACTGGAACCCCTCATATACCATTAATATCCTAGCAGCATCTTAAATTGGCACCCAAACCTGGCCTTGAGAATGTTGGCCAGCATTTACCTGCCTTCACACTGGCACTTTCAAAGAACTTGCAGGAAGAAAACACCAACCTTTCCCTAGGAAGCAATGCTGTTCAGAAAAAACGCTAATGAAAATCTTTCAAGAATACAAAGGAAAAACCTGTGTGGTGTGCCAGACTATTCTTCAGATTCCCTCTGACTCAGGCATGTGCAGGACTTACCAGGGGGCTGACAGGTTCATGGAATGGGAGGCTCATATTACTGCAGAACAGGGAAAGCACCAGCTTTTCACACTTCTGTAGAAGCCAAATTTTAAACGCATTTTAATTCAAAACGAGTAAGTTTCATTCTTGCCCTTAGTTAAGCAATCATACTAACAACAAGAGAAGTTTCCATGTAGTCTGTGCATTTCTGATGCAAAATGGCACATTTCACTATAACCTGGAGGACATTTTGCCTCATAGCATTTCTATAGTTTTGAAACTGAGAACAGTCAAGAAATGCAAGAAAAAAAAAGCATTATGTAAAGTTTTTGGCATGCATGTATCTTTCCTGGAAACTCCCGGGAATTCATTGCTATCACTATTTCCTTTCTGCACTCCAGATCTAGTCCTTGGCTCTTGACTAAAAGAACAGCAGTAACTGTGTGGGAACAGTTAAATGGAAAACATTTCACACCATTCATACCCATTCATACAAATGGATGTAAGTTATGTAGCTGGTAATACTGTATGAAAACAGTTCAATTTAATCATTGATAACTTATAAAATACTTATACTAGTCTTTGGCTTTGTCACTGATGCAAAAGAAAGCACTACAAAAACATCATAAGTCACGTTTTCTTACAAGCAACGGAATTTCTAATCAAATCAATTCCCTAAAGAGAGCCTCGCAAATCAAGACCCAGATCCCAACTATTGCTGGCCAGTTCTACTCAGTTCAATAGAAACTGGGGCCACATCAATGTCAAGAAGCTGTGTCCAGCTCTTTATGGACAGAGTAGCTCAGGTCTGGAAACAGCATGGATGAATTTGAGCAGTGCTGTGGCTCTGCTCATAGGCCTTGCCAAAGGGCTCCCGTGCTGTAAGAACCATTGCTGTTGGCTATGAATTCTGCCCAGACTAGACCAGTGCCTTATTCTAGAGCCAGCTCAGCATCTGCACTCAGCTGTCTGGACTTAGTCTCTGTGTCCAGCTGCCTCCAATAGACACTGGACATTTACTTGGAACTTGTGGCTTCCAACCACTAAGTGGACTTTAAGAAATGGTATTTTTCCATGGGAAGTTTGGGAGAGAAAACTGGTAATGAGGCTGCAAAGAGATAAGTTTTCATCTAGGCTGAGTGAACAGCGCCTAAATGTCATCTTCAAGGGGATTAACAGTACATATGAAGACTGTATGATGATTTCAATCTGACTGAAAGTAAAAAAGTGTCTGCATACAAAAATGACATTGCAACTGTCCTAAGTAGATGTCTGAGAAGGTGCCAAGTCTTAAACAAAAAAGATTCAGTGGCACAAAGCCAGGCAAAGTGGACTCAGGAAAGTTTGCTCTGCTGCTGAGTGTGACTTCCCTGTTCAAAGGAGAAAGGAGTTCCAGATCTGGCTGTTTCATCTTTCTATGACATCATTCATTTTAAAATTCAACAGCGATGTCTAGATAGAAGAGAATGATATAACTGAATACTAACAATGCTTTTGTTGTATTTACTGCTCTCTGAAACATTCCAGTAGCAACCAAGTCAAATCAGTCATCTTTCCTATGAAGAGGAAAAGCTTCATGCTAAGATCACTTGTCTTTTTCTGACTAACACAATAGATAGTTATTCTCACCTTCTGGTCAGAATCATCAAGGCCATATTGTGCATTATAACTTTGGCTGTAGCGTGTATTTTCACAGTCATATTCCACCTCTGGTTTCACTGGATTACGGCACAGCGTGCACACCCATTCTCCCCTGCAAAACAAGAAATCAAAACCAATTTTTTGTCAAATTTTATCAGCAACCTTGTCAAATAACAAACCTCAGGAATCACTGTATTTGGAAACAAGTCTCATCCTTAACTAGTATGACGATAGCAGGCAATCTGAAGCCCATTGTGCTAGATGTTCTTCAAGAGAATTGAATCTAATTAGAAGTACGATGATTTCAGATTCTGCTCATTGCACTTCTTCTGTCACAGAGAAAAAAAACAGTAAGTGTTTGAAATCATGTATCAGGAGTGTGTGCAGCTGTATTGATTCAAGTGCTGTTCTTCAAAAAAACAACGTTAAGGAAAAATAGTCGACAGATGGGTTATAAGACAAAACCAGATCCATTTGATGATTGAGACATATATTATCAATTTATATGATCATTGACATTTATCTAAAAAAATCAAGGTTATCAGAAGAGGTCATAATACAGGTATTATGTATTATTATGTATTATAGTACTATAACCTATTACACAGGTTCCCAAACCCAACAGACACAATTCTGCATGGGCATAAGTGTCCTTCCTAGTAGATCTGTTTTCAGAAACCTCTTGAAGAATTTCATTAAGGCAGTGATGCAGCATCAGGGCCTGAATAACTATAGATCAAGGTCTTTAAAGAGCTATGAATAAAGAACTTTAGTTAAGGGAACTAATTTACTTCATTAGAATTTAACTTTGCCTAGGAAATTTATTTTGAAAGAAAAACATGGTTTTCACATTGTTTTGAAACTAAAGGTTTAGCAATGACTCAGCTATTAGAGAAAGGAGTGAAAAGCTAAGAGACAGAAATGCCTGCTTTTTGAACAGAAAGAACAAAACCAAATCTTCAAACTAATACCTCACAAAACACATTTTTCTTGACTGAGACAGATATTTGGGCTTGGTGCAAATGAAGTAGCCTCTGTTCCCACCTGCTAATGATTTGTAACAGAATTCAGAATTATACACCACCAGCAATGCACATTATTCAGCCTCACTTATAAAGTTTGGTATGTGGACACGTACTTAATTCTGGCTCTTTGTCACATACAATTCATCTGTGACAAGTTCCTAGGGAATGTGCGTCTTACGAAAAAGCATGTCCTAAGCATTTCCACAAAAGCACCAATAATCCTAAATTTCTCATAAAACTGGCTAGAAAACTGAATAGGAACTCACTGATTGCCCTTTCCTTGTGCTAGTCACTTGTTCTTGCAGAGAGGAGCTGACGTCTACACCACAGATGTTACATGAGAGTTAGGATTTTCTTTTTCTCCAGTAAGTCATAAGAACATTTTTAAAGCTCGGGTTTGCCACCTCCTTTGTACTGGCCAGCTAACTGCAGAAAGGGCATACACAGCTGCAAACAGATATTGGCGAAAATTCATCCAGTTCCTAGCATGTAAGACAATTCTTCCCTTTGCAAGTAAAGTAACAAAAAAGGCAAGTGAGAGATGCAGTCCCTACCCTTGTGTAAAGTTGACACATATAGCCCTAAGGATATATTCTGTCCCAAGGCAGTGAGCAGAAACTGAGCACATTAGGAAAATGTCATACACACTCACACTGGAAAGCTGAGCAGGGCTGGAACATGGCAGGAGAGATGGAAGACCTTGGGGCAGTGATCACAGCACAACAGTTCTCCTCCATTAAGACACACAGCACAGAAATCCTCATTTTCAATTAGACTGACTTCCTGAGTAACTGCAGATTTTTTCGTGATGGAGGTGCAATTGCTGAGCTTCTGATCAACAGATGGAGTATCTGTAGGAGATGATTGTGTCTGTCCTGCCGTTTGGGATTCAAGAAATTTTCTGTCCTCTGAGTTCTCCTCTTTGGATTTCAGTCCTTCAATTGGACTATCTTTATTTATCTTGAAGGAAGAAAAATCTGGGATCACACAATCATCATTTCCATATATAAGCATATAAAAGCAGCAATTGTCTGCAGATAAAATGGTTTCTCTGCAGTGAACTCTACTGGAGAAGGCACTGGGGTTCAGTAGGCCCACCCTCGGCTCGAAGACTGACATGGGCTGGCCAGGTCAGCTTGGTCAAGTGATTTCCTCCACATACCACAATGTAATAGCACTGTGAGAGAGTTGTACAGGTTTCATATCACGGATGCTAGAAACAGGATAGTTTACAACCTTATTTGCAAATTTTACAGTCAACAGCTAAAAAAAGAAAAGTATAGTTTTTTGTTCCCATCAGAAATTCCTGTTTCCTTCTGTGGAAAAAAGTTCACAATCAAGACTTCAATGAAGCAATGGAATACAAAGCTTTTAAAAATCTATTACACTGTGACTTCTGGAATCAGTTCCTATCACTCAAATATACATTTGGGTCAGTTTTAAGCTATTTATCCCACATTTTTAACTAGACAGACAAGTCAGGTTGTTTGCTAGAATACAAAAACATTACAGCTATCCAATCCCAGAGATAGCCTTCTCAGAAATGGAAGTATCAGAGAGCTATACAACAAACTAAAATCTGCATTCTCTATTATTTCAACCCATCAAAGACGTGTCTGAGGGTGAAATGAATCTACAAACTTGTTTAGTGTAGAACAACTTTCAGAAACTGTGGGTGCAAGCCAATGAGATAAGGGCAGAAAGTCCACGAAAGTCAAGGAAAGTCCACTCACCTTTATAGACATACTTGAAGACTGGGTCCCACATTCAACTATCAGGAGGAAATTGCCCTCCTGCTCATTGTCCTGTGGCTGGAGCTTAAACACTGGGAGCTTCCCTGCTTCTGATGCACATATTTTCAGACGCTCCAGTCGCACATAGGGGAACTTCTGCTCCTTAGGGCCAGCTCTGCAATCAAAATGACACATGGGTAAATTCAGTCATATTCCACAAAATTCTCCTTCCTACTCAGTTTCAACGTTATTCACACATTATTGTTTGTGCTTCCTTTCCTTCGTAACTGTGACTCTGCTGGCTAAACGCTGAAAATCCGGACATCTTTTCACATACCAATTCTTTAAGAAATGTGAATGCAATCCCTTTAAATTATTCATGTGTGTACATGCATTACAAACTTCTGTGCTAAAACTCTGCCCTGCTCTGTACATTTGTGGTTTACTTATTCCAATGTAAGTCATGCTTGATGCTTTTCAATGTGGCTGGTTTCAAGCAGGAACACAGCACATCATCAACACATCTCAGCAGTAGCTGAAAACAACATTTGATAAAATTGTTGAGATCATGTTAATCCTGTTCTCATGATATTTTTTAGGTTTAATTGGGGCTAAATAGTTTCTAATTGTTCAAGTGAGGTAAGTTTGCAAACATTTCTTCATTCTGGAAAATTACACAGAGTAACAGAAATACACAAACTCACCACTTCTTTTAAATTGTTGTTTTCAAGTTTAAGAGAATACTTTATAACTTTCAGAATTATTCTCTGTAAGGAATTTTGCATTCTTTTAAAGTTCTCCATTAATTATTAAGCTTGACAGATTTTCTAAATACATGCATAAAATTTCATGGCCAGTGCTTTTGTATAAAAAAAGATTTTGTTACCTGACATTCTGCTTGCTTTCTATATCCATTTCAAAATGTTCCTTTTCACAGTTATTGGAATCTGGAACAGAAGATAAGAAAACGAATAAAATATTTATAATATCAGAGTCAGATTAGGGTAGAAAGTACTTCAATATTCATGCACTTCTGACTGGTGTTTAATACGATATCATATGTGAATTATGAAATTATTTCATCTGTATGTATAGAAAATATGTATGCTATTTTCTATTCTGGGATACAGTCTTTGTCTTTCTCTTTGCTTTTAAGCCCAGCTCCTGTGCTGAATATGAGGAGCCTTCCAAAATAAATTGTCAAAAGTGTTACCTCCCCAGGGCATGATATATGTACACAGCCATGCCACGTTCATCCATACACATGGAACAACATGAGTAATCCTCTTCGCTACACAGTCTTCACTTGAGAAGAACAGACCTACTGAGGTCTGAACCCCTGAGGCTCAGGAAGTCTCTGTGGTCTACTGCTCCATGCTACGAAGCTTCTGGATAATTCAACAAGGCCAAGTGCACCTGGAAGAGGGTAATCCCAAGCACAAATCCAGGCTGGGCGGAGAATGGCTCAAGAGCAGTCCCAAGGAGAAGGGCTTTGGGGTGTCAGTCGATATAAAACTCAACATGTGCTGGCAGTGTGTGCTTGCAGCCCAGAAGGCCAACCGCATCCTGGGCTGCATCACAAGAAGTGTGGCAGCAGGGCAAGAGAGGTGATTCTGCCCCTCTGCTCTCGTGAGACCCCACCTGGATACTGCATCCAGTTTTTGAGCCCCAACACAAAAAGGACATCAAGTTCTTGAAGCAGGTCTGAAGGAGGGCCACAAAGATGATCGGAAGGCTGGAGCACCTCCTTTATGAGGACAGGCTGAGAGAGTTGGGGCTGTTCAGCCTGGAGAAGAGAAGGCTCCGGGGGGACCTTGTTGCTGCCTTCCAGTTCCTGAAGGGATCCTACAGGAAAGCTGAGGAGGGACATTTTACAAGGGCAGGCAGTGATAGAACAAAGGGTAATGGCTTCAAACTGGAAGAAGGTAGATTTAGACTGGATATTAGGAAGAACTTCTTTACTGTGAGGATGATGAGACACTGGCACAGGTTGCCCAGGGAAGTTGTGGATGTCCCCTCCCTGGAAGTGTTCAAGGCCAGGTTGGATGGGGCTTTGAGCAACCTGGGCTGGTGGAGGTGTCCCTGCCCATGGCAGGGGGGTTGGAACCAGGTGATCTTTAAGGTCCCTTCCAACCCAAACCATTCTATAATATGATACGATATGATACAATATGATATACGATATTATATGAATTCTAGTGACTTGAGAACAGGAAGGAAATTGTGTCTCCCATCTGACACTGAGGGATGGAAGCTGCACCGTATGATTCCTTTCTATCCTCTAATGTATGTAACATATAATTGTATGAATTCAAAACTATCCATTATATAAGCATGCAAGTAACTGTAGCTCTTGGCTGATACTAGACCCAAGAGTAACAGAACAACTTTGGAGAGATGGGATGGGCTAAAGATAAATGTCCCAGTGGATGCCCTCATAAATTTCATAGTAACTCCTTCTTTTGTTAGGAATTCGGCATAGACAACACTAACAAGAAAACAAATCAAATACCATGGTTATCTGGAGACAAGCGAGTGCCAGGAAAAAATGCTTTTTTAAAAGAAAATCTAGCTTGGGTCAATGATACCTACTAACCCATGGCTTGAAAGCAATGTGCCTCTAAGATATTCTGTTGATCCCAGCCACAGGATACACAATACATATATTGTCAAGGAAAGGTGCACTTCTTGTCACTCCTGAAGTGTTATTCACTTGTGATTGTTGCTCAGGTGAAGGATGGTAGTCATGGCTCTGGACAGAATTTGTGGAAAGCACCAAACTAGAGGGGTTACAAACACTGTGGAGAATATTTACAATTAAAAAATTCTCAATATATCAGAAAAAAAAATCTCCTAAATCAGTAAGAGTGACCTGAGATAACTGTAAGTACTATGCTTAAGAAGGATCAGATAAATGTAATCACCAAGGAAAATAACTGACTAGGGAACTGTTCTGTAGAAGGAAATAAGGGTTAATGTGGACCATTCACAACATGTGAGTCAACCACATGCTGCTCTTGCAAAAAAGGCTGCAGTGTATTACCTGCAGCGAGGAATGTAAAACTCAAGAAGCTGATACTCTGGCTTTGCACGGCACTCCAGAGGCCTCAGCTGCAGCTCTGCGTTCGGCTGTGGGCAGCACTCCTTAGTTGCAGAGAACCCAGAATAGCCCAGCAGG